TTGACTTTCCTCCCAGTTCCTAGGTTTCCTTCTGACCTTCAATCTCGCGACTTAGGTCGGGCTGCAGCCTAGTCAGCTGCTGGGACAGAAAGTCTAAGTACCTCAATGTCCTGAACGGGTAAAAATGCAGCAGCCGTAGGAGCCCTTTCTGCGCCACCAGCACCGTGGGCGGAGGAGGCTACAAGCAACGGCGGCGGCGGAACAGCGGCGACAGGCGTGCCCTCCCTGCCCTACGTGAGGCACTGGGGCAGCGACAGGGTTAACAGGAACCACCGGGGCAGCGATAGGGACCACCTTCACCGACTAAATCTCCCTGTTGACCATCAACGACGACAGGTAAAGGCGCGTTTCTGGAGTTGTAAGGCAACATGGCGAGGCTACCCAACCCGAAAAGCGAAGTTAAAAGAGGTAGCAAAGGTAGCCCTACCGAAAAGTAAGACTTCCTCAGCACAGCGATGGACTGCCTCTATCGCTTGCAATGCACCAGGGGAGAGGTACACTAGTTCGCGCAAGCGAGGGATCGCAGCAGAGGTAGGTACAGCAGCACCCGCTACAACGAGAGGGCCTGCAAATCTAAAAACAGTCAGAGGAAGCAAACTAAGATTACTTCAACAAGAGGTAGGGCGAGTCTACCAACCCGCGGATGCGGCGGCAGCCATCACAGCATTGCCGAGGTCAGCAGCAAAAGTCGCCAAGGGACCGAAATCTTCAGAATGGGCCGACGTAGTCTCTTCTGAAGAAAAGTTTATATTAGTACAAACTGAGAGGAAATGTGCGGAAGCGGGAATGAGACTGGCCCGTAAGGAACCCGTCTCGATACCAGATTTGTTGTTGAGTTCAGACGACACAACCACATAAGGGGGGCATCGAAAGATACCGATTGAGACAAGTGTCTTGGATAAATAGTCATGAGTGACTCCACTTGGCCCTCGCACCGATAAGTCCCCAGTACGACTGGCCGGCGCGGTATCCAGCAGCCATAGTTCGCAGGAACTACTCTCGCTCGGTCAGACGAAACAGGGACGCAGGTCCCAGCTTTACATAGGTAAAACCCCCGCCCATACGCAGGTATGGAGTCCATAAATTTCCATACAGTTATTCGACCCTGGCACCAGTACCCGTGACAGTTATTCAGGGTTTGCCAACCTCTGGTATGGACTTCCGCAGCGGTGCGGCATTAGGGTGGCGGACGACTAACAGTAGTCGCTTCAGCCGCCGCAGCTAACAGTAACCGCAAGTAAACTAATAGCAGTATTAGTTAAACCTGTAATCACCGACAGCGGGGTTGACGGGTATCCATTAGTAACA